ATATATATATATATACATATATATAAATTATTACATATATATAAAAACCTGACGTGTAGCAAGTTTATAAATATAAACTTAAATGTATATTATACCAGAAGGTTTGCGGATTATCGCCGTGTATTTTTTCATTATTAACGCCAACGTTTCGTGAACCATGCCGTTCACTTCATTCATTAAATGTATATTATCCAATCTATACCTAATACTAATGTTAATATTTCACTTTTCTTATTGATAGAAAATGTCACTCAGGATCATGATCTACACAACATATATCAAGGTGAAGCCATCGGGACTCCCTTATTCGGCATATTTACCCATTAAACTATAAATGGGGGTTCCCTGTTAATGGCAGCCGCTACTTTCTCATTCTTCAAGATTGTCATATGATCTTCTTCAATACAATGTACTGTTACTATATTTTGAGTTATCTTAAATAATTACATACATTGTTAATAAAAAATTGTGATAAATTTGATTTTTAAGTACAAATTAAAAAAAATTTTTGAAGTACCTTGTGCAAGCCATAATCCTTTTCATGTATTGGTATATTTAACGGTTTTGCACATTTTAGCAATATTATAGGTGACTTAATAAGCGGTAAAATAAAAGGATCATATTCTCGAAGAGCGGAAAAATGTTTGTAAATTGTTGTACACAGAGTCTTTAAATTTGAAAACGAGAGAGATTTGTATACAGCTGAGAAATGTTTAGCGAAAATATTAAATCTTTCATCCCAGTTCTCACGTTTCTTTAATTCCATTAAAATCTACAAAAATATAAATTTTTTATTTTATATAAAAGATTATACGAAAGTTTATAAGAAGGAACGAAGGAATTGATACTGATCTACAATACATAAAGAAACTGAAAAATAATATAAATATATGAGAGCAAGTCAATAAGTTTTTAGTAAAACACAGTAAAACACATTTTTTTTTACCGATTTATTTTTATTTCTCAACATAATCTCCTTTCAGCTCAATACACTTGATCCAACGATTCTCCAATTTTTTCAATCTTCCAATTTTTCTGAATAATACGATTTACCCAATCTTTCAAAATAAGCCTCTGTTTCGGCGATAAGTTGCTCTTTGATGGTCTTCTCTTTCCTCCGAACCATTTCTTCAAGTTTGGAAACAGGAAATAGTCGCAGGGGGCTAAATCTGGCGAATATGCTAAATGGGGAAGCAATTCGTAGAAGAGTTCATTAAATTTGGCCGGGCACGTGTGAACCCGTGCATTGTCTTGATGGAAGAACACTTTCTTCTTCGCCAAATGGAGACGTTTTTTCTTTAAAATGTTGTTGAAACGGCCCAATAAGGCTGCGTAGTAATCGCCATTGATCATTTGCTTCGACGGAAGGTAATCGATATGAATTATACCGGGTGCATCCCAAACAACTGTGGCCATCACCTTTCCGGCCGATTTCACGGTCTTCGCTTTTTTCGGAGTTGGTTCATCCGGTGAAGTCCATTGTTTTGTCGGTTCCTTCGTCTTGGGTGTGAAGTAATGGATTCATCCACAGTAATAAATCAAAGCAGAAATTCATCTGGATTACGTAGGAACATTTCCAAACGTTATCACACGGTCGCGCTTATGGTCCACAGTGAGCAAACGCGGCACTCATCTTGCCGACAGCTTTATCATACCGAATTATTCGTGTAAAATTGAAATCACTGTGCCATGTGATATGCCTGTGGCCTCAACAAACTCGCGCACTTTCACTCGTCGATCAGTCAAAACAATATCGTGGATTTTACCGATGATTTCTGGAGTAGCAGCCTCAATCGAGGCCTCAATTGGACGTTCCGAACGAGGTGCATCACATGTGAACGTACGATCACGTTTAAATTCATTCACCCAATTGTATACAAACACGAACGCTAGTGCAGATGTGCTATGAACATTATCCAACTCGACTTTGATTTCTTTCGGTGTTAAACCTTTTATATGTAGATGTTTGATCACTGCACGAAACTCGTTTTTTTCCATTTTGCAAAAAATACAAAAGTTGTTCGCTTTAACCGTCTACGAGAATAAAACCTCTCGATGAATTTTGCTCGAAATTTGACAGTAATCAGCTGAAAGTTGCTATTTGTCAAAAAGTAATGTGACATGACACTGCGAGTGCCTCCTGACAGATTTTCTAAGAATTTATTGACTTGCCCT